ACATACTAATATATGCCAACTTTCAAAATTTTCGCTTAAAAAAATCGTATTTTAAATTTCAATCTAGAGTGCCATGGCTGTATTAAAAACGCCAATTTTTAATCAAGCAGCCTTGGAAAAATAGTTTTGATCGTCTAATGTTTTCGTGTTTTGTCTTGACCGGTTAAAAGATGCCGGTTAAAAGATGTTAAAATAGAGGGTGGCTCATTATCAGACTTGGAAAAAACGTTTTTTTACTAATAATTTGGTACCATACACTTGGTATTTCGAGTCAAATTGTCGTTATGAACAGCATGTTACAATTTCAAATAAACCATACAAAAATATCAAAAGTTGAGAAATGATACGGTATTCTATCTAGAGTGTCATTTTCTATCCAATCGAAAGTAAAAATACCGAGGATGTCATTTTTAAAATCAAAAGTTATATTCATTTCCGGTGAAACAGGAACTGACCAAAAACAATTGAATACATCAATCAATCCTAATTTATGTCATATACGAACATACCAAATCCCGTTGTTTTTATCTGAAAAAATGGGGTTGATTTAATGGTGTGTGCCATTTTTGAGACGCACCCGGTGTATATGTTACGTTAAGGTCCGATGTCCGGTTAATGTCGACATTACCTGGTTAATCTCGAGAATAACACACAACAAAACACCCAAAAACATAATCTAACCCAAACCTTAACGTGTTAATGTCGACATTAACCGGACATCGGACTTTAATTGTAACATATACACCATTAATATATTATTTATTATTATATTAAGATGAAAATTGTAATTCACGAATAAACAAACAAAGTGGTATAATACAAAAACGGCAAGGTATAATTGAATAAATTTGTTCAAATTATCCTATTTTATATTAAACAATAGCGACAAAATATTATTACAAAACCGTAATTAACCTGAATAACTGCAACATAAAAGACGACTGACGAAAAACGAAACAATAAAACAGCGGAAGCGGGATCTAATTCTCCTGATCCGGTACTATAAACGTGGAGATCAAGTTCAGAAATCCAGTATTCTATGGTAATCTGTTGGAAACCGCTGTTTCTCTAAACGTTCGCAGCAGAAATATAATTAAATAGGTTGGTCGGTTTATAGCCAGTTTCGGTTCTAAAGGCGAGGATGGATCTGGCGAGCAAATAACCCACAGAGAGGATTGAGTACTATTTACTTAGCAGTACCGTTTTCATTTCTTTGTCTCGCCGTTTGCTGCTGCTGCATAGCGTTAACTTCGGTAATTTATCGAACGACGCTTTGCATTTCCGTGGGCCGAGAGGAACTGCTTTTTGACGCCTTAACAACGATATTAGGCATAGCGGCGAATACCGTAACTGGACATTGATACACGGAAAGAAATACACATTGAATTACTACAGTTTCTTCTTTTTTCTTCAAATATCGACTAATAATTCCATTTTATGGTACGATTCGCTGATTACACATTTATATTATGAGTGGACACAACGTGACATCTAACTATAATCTAATTAGAAAAACAGGCTCTTGCTTTGTTGAACAGTTAAGAGGCCGGATGAGATCGGATAACAATACCGGATAAGTCGCTCTAAACATACGTTAAGTCGGTATTCAGTTATATGGCAGAGGGCCTCACATAAAGTATGCCCCGTCCAGATTTGCCGTGGCATCAAAAAAGAGGTAAACTTAAAATTCGTTACTTTACTTTTTCTTGGACGATCTAGTAATCAGTTACGATAATATGATTTACGAAAATCTACTTTGATAAATAAAATACTTGGCAGTGTGGGTGATAGGTCTTCTCTAGATACCAATCAGTCTATAGAAGACCTATCACCTACACTGCAAAGTATGTTCACCATAATTCCAACCATACAACAATGGTAAAGACGAGTATAATCTGATACCTGTAGTAAATTCTGAAGAAATCACAAAAAATTAAATTAATTAAAAAATATATCCAATTACAAAAGCAATTCGTTATATTTATAATTCAGATTTAACTAAAGCAGTTATCAAGAAAATTGGTAACAAAACGTATATTGGTAACATATAACGTGTTGAATGATATATTATCCACTTACAGTGAGGTCAACATTTTGGACTTACCTACTTATCACCATGGCCTGGTCTTCGCTTCTCAGTTACTAATTGTAGCCCGTACTGTTGTCTGGGCTAACCTAACCTAACCATATGCATTCCTTTACTATAAAGAAAGTAGTCATGCAATAAAGATGATTGGACATATGCACAAAATTAAAGTTTAGATCAGTTTAGGTAATTAGATAGTTTGAATCAAAATAAAGGAGTTTCTACAATGTTAGTAACATTAACAAAACACTAAAGAGCGTTTTAAGCAAAACAAATCCTAAAAATACCATAGACAAACGCAACTTCATTTAGAAAATATAACATATGGGTGATGCAAAATCATAACTATCAACACAAAATAGGCGACACAACGAATTCCTGTATTGCAGATCATGGATGGAGCAAACAGCATAGGACACAAAGTTAGAAGTCCAAAATATTTAATAGAGAGCAGCGCTACAATGCACAACAATCCGAACAGCTGTAGTTAGCCTAGCTTAGTAGTTAGCCCAGCATGAATAACATGTGGAAGTCCTTTATCAGAAGCCTAAAGGAGTTAATGCTATAATGATCCCGGTATAAGGCATTTAATTTAATATGATCCAGCAACCGTCTAGTCTTTAATACAACAAGTAAAATAATGAAGAATATTTTTGTTTTTAAAATCTTCCATATAATTAATACTGACAAAATCTATCTATACTTATTTGTAACATACAAGGTTCGGTAATAGTGCGTAGGGCATCTGTAACTCCTAGAATAAAAAAGTGATAAATTTGCAAACCTAAAGTACGTACTAGGATGTATTTCAGGAAAATATTTTAACTTCTATAGGGTGGCTCAAAAAAGTGTTAGTAGATCGGGATGATTTTTTTTTTAAATGGAACACCCTGTATATTATTGCATTTTTGGCTTCATTTCAGATTACTTTACATAATCCTAAGATATTAGGAAATATATTTCGATAGTTTCAGAGATATTAATAAATAAAAAAATATATATTTTTCAGCTTTTCTTAAAAAAGTTATTAAAAATACAAGAACTGTCCTGAAATCAAAACTATATTAGGTATTAACTTTAGATAGTCTGTACTTATTTTGCTATAAATATGGTAATCGTAATTCATACAGGATGTTCAAAACTCTACGCCAAACTTTCTAAAATAAAAAATAATTTTTCTTCATTTTTTTAACACCCTGTATATTTATTTTTTCAACAGATGAAGAATTAAAAAATGAGCTTTTTTTGTATTTAGACAATTTCAAAACTTTTAACGGTTTCGCAGTTATTCGCGATTTTATATTTCATACGGCATTTTCCACAGTAAATTTTTATCAAAGCCACCCAATGATTTTTCTCTCGTATTTTAACATTGAAAGAGCCATATGAAATAATAGTGCGTGTATTTGCAAAACCATTAAAATTTTTGAAATACTTTAAATACAAAAAATGTTCATTTTTTAACTCTCCATCTAATAAAAATATAATATACAGGGTGTTCCCTTTAAAAAAACAAAGAAAAAATATTTTATATTTTAGAGCAAGTTTGGCATAGAATTTTGAACAGTCTGTATGATCTAAGATTACGATATTTATAACAAAGTTAAGTATAAACCATCTAAATTAAATACCTAATACTAATATAGTTCTGATTTCAAGACAGGTCCTTGTATTTGTAATAAATTTTTTATGGAAGGTTGAAAAATATATATTTTCTATTTATTTATTGATATATCTGAAATCATCGAAATATGTTTACTCATATCTTAGGATTATATAAAGTGATCTGAAAGGAAGTCAAATATGCAATAATATACAGGTTGTTCCATTTAAAAAAATCATCCCGATCCACTCAAACTTTTTAGAGCCACCCTATAGAAGTTAAAATATTTTCCTGAAATACTTTTTGGTACATACTTTAGGTTTGCACTTAAACAAAATTCTCAAGTTTTTTATTCTAAGGGCTACAGATTGCCGACGCACTATTACCGAACCCTGTATACTAAGCATAAATCAGCTTGAAATTGATTAAGATCTACGCACAAACACGCATAAATTTGAAAATGAATTCATAATTTCAGTGCTTCAATTACTTTACAAATACAGTTTTTTCTTGAGATAGGTAATTATTATATTTTTATTCGAGTGAAAAAACTTGCGTGCTAATGCGCTGCAAAATACTATTATTATTTGCGCAACAATAGCATTTAAAATGAAGTTATTAAAAACAGGGATATAGAAAAGCACACCCAACTAAAAAGAATTGCTTTAATACTGATATTTAAAATTTCTAAATTTCGCGTTTCTTTGAATGTGGTAGACAATGATTCAGTATTGAAAATAAAATAATTTTGGACATCCGTTGTCTTTATTTATTTTGATTACACATCGTTTCGGTCAGAAGAATTACTGACCGTTATCAAGTTGTCAATGAACCCTATGAACTATTTTTAATAGTACTATATTAGCATTCTCTTTTCTCATTAATATAATATTATAGAGGTTTTATTTTTGATATTTTGAAAAATTGTTTCATTGTGCATGTGTAAATTGTGCATAATCCTCATATTCATATCGATATACACGAATGTGCATCCAGGAACATCCCTGTCCATAGTTCGGACGCAGACTGGCGAATAACCCCGCGGAACTACCATCAGACACCGCATCTTGCGAGATGGCAGCACCGTCCAGCGCCGGTCGTACGTGCGACACCGCAACGGTCCGATCTGGCGGAATTCCGCGCCTCGTCACCGCAAACCGCCGCCGTCGCAGCCGCTCTTCTTCGTCCTCGGGCGCTCTTCATCTCCGTCGCGACGCTTCTTCGCCGCGACGCACCGGCAGTGTTGCCATCCCCGCCCCTCGCGGTATTTAAACTAGCGGCGCGCCGCACCGAACGCGTTCATTTCTTCTCCGACCCCCGGTTGAAGAAGATTCACTCACACACCGCACTCATACACAACTAACTATATATTGCAGTAATCTTCTGGCTCTATTGGCGCAGAATACTTCGGTGCACCGCGAGGACTGGTCGCAATTTTTCCAAAAAATCCGGTAAAGTGACGCGGAATCGGCAAGTATCGTCGGGAGTGCATCGCTTCGAACTGACAGGGTCCGACCGCTAAGGGCCTTGAGATAGTGTGAATTTTGTTCGTTGTACTTTAAAGGAGTTTGTTGAGGTAAGGTAGTGGCAGAAATCTGCGTCCTTGAATTGGTGGATTATCGAATAATGCGATTTGTGCGATCTTGTGGTTTAACTCAGTGTTGGACTGTTTATGAATTATATTTTTATGCGACCGGATTTTTTTCTAAATTCAGATGAGAAAAATGGATATACTATATTATTTTAGATTTTAGTGCACTAATAAATATTGCTTTGCCAAATGTATTTTGCATAAATATGTACCTATACGTCCAGATATATATAAAAAAAAATTAAAAACCACTAACTTAAAACTATTGGCATTAAGCAAAAGTTTATCAGAAGAACTTTTTTACTTATAATTAAAAATTTATATATAAAAATTTACATATTTGGTAAAAATTAGATTTCTGAAGACGATATCTCTTAAAATCGCAAATAGTAAGCTTTTAGAAAATGAGAAAATTTATTTTAATTTTATTATAATTTCTTTCATGTTTTATTCTACCATATGTAGTTAATGCATTGGTATTATTTGGCTTAGTAAATGTTGCAAAAAGAAATGCATTATCGAGGCAGTTTTTACTACTGGAAAATGACAATATGTTTTTTGCGCTTTATGAGAAAAATTTTTTTGTTTTTAAACAATTTTGGTACTCTATATACAACTTAATTACATTTTATAATTTTTAAAATAAATCCATAGGTGCTTATAAAATATCTCCAATGTTTTTTCCAAGCCTGCAGAAAAGTGCAAACAAATTAAAATACGTTTAGTGCAACTCCAGGATAAATTTAATTAAAGTTATCACGATTTCATCTCTGTTTCATTCAATTAATTTTTCTTTTATAGTTATATTTATTTTTTCGTTATTATATATTATTCTACAGCCTTATATGAATAAAATCTTATTATACACAACAAATCAGATTAAAAATCATAATTTATTTATAATAAGTTTTATGTTTATAATGATATATTTTTCATGTTTATTTTTAAGATATTTTTTAAATTGGCAAAATCCAAAAAAATCTAAAACCCTGAATTTTAACGATTGATAAAAGTGATTTGAAAACGCAACAATTTAGAACGTTTAAATTGTTTCAATATATTTAAATAACATACCAGAATAGGATAATAATTGTTTAATATTGAATACTAACTATTTTTTATTAAAATTAATTTACAAATTTTTCTAATAATTAAATAAGTAATTTTATATATTATGGTACTTTTATGTACAGTTTCAGTATCAATAAATAAATAATATGAGATATAGAAAATTAACCAATAACTTAGATTTATAATTAAATAAATGTGATTTTATTAATCTTAGAGAAGAATAAAACTTTCAACGAAATATCACTAAATTTTTTTTAAAAATATGGTCTGTCTTAATTATATTATTTAACGGTATGGTGTACTCCATTATAATATAAAATATACAAATAATTACTTAGAATATTCCCTACTAATATCTTTTAATAACGTACCTACCATGAATATAATCGCTCAACAAATTATCGATCAATATTTTACATAAATTTAAATTAGTTATAACTAAATCCGTGTAATTTTGTAATAAATACATGAGTGCATAGAAGAACTGCAGGGGTTTTAGAAAAGTGTTGGAAAACTTACTGTCTGCATAATAATTATGTAAATATGTAAGCTGAAGAGTTCAACCAACCAAGCGAACTATTAAAGAAGTGAAATTAATGAATCAATAAGCCGATGGTAATCGACGTTAATAGCCGGTGAACTTGCAAATGTTACGCATTTTTTTTCGATTTATCTGATCATAGATTTGATCTGCCGTTCTGTTTATAAATTTTGTTAGTGGTCTCGGACATAGTAACATCGACGTTACATTAGCTGTTCTATAAAAAACAAAATTGTTTAAAAATTACGCCACTTTATTTCGACTAAGAAAAATAGTCGTATTTTACTGGGGTGAGTAAACTCGTTTTATTTACTTAAAGGTGTGCAAAGTTTAGGATGATTAGTAAAAATTATGTTGAAATCATTTTTCTGTGTTTTATGATTATAATTCATATTATTAGCTACAGCTTTAATAAATATGTAATAAACTATATATTCAGAAAATAAGATATATTATTAGTAATATTTTTACAAGAACAGTTTGAAAAACTGTTTTAATTATTAAGAATTTAAAAAAATACCTATGTAAATATAAATATTAAAACTTGAAACCTCTAAAACGCACTAAAATAAATTACTCAAATAATACTACTTCATATTGTAGTTTTACAGTTTTTCAAGATTTTATGAGAATATTTAATAACGTATAAAAATATTTTAATATATCTAATATCACGTCGCTACTTCAATATTTGAACTACCTATTTGAATAATTAACATTTATTAATTAACATTTCCTTTAATTAACAACTAGGTACTTAAATTATTAACATTCCTTTTTATATGTTGGACTTAAAAAGAATGTCTACTGGATTTGACAGTTAAATGATATTTAACTTAGAAATATTTCCAATTTTTATTTTTAATTGAAACGCTACAAGATTTATAAAAAATACTACATATCGCATAAATTGTTACTGAAATTTTATTGTTAATATCAAAGTAAATAGTATACTTATACTATAATACTAATATTATACTTAAGCTGTAGAAATATAAATAACCTCACATAAAGTTGTATAATTGGCAGACTCTACCATTCAGCATATTGGTGAATTATACTTATACATTATCAATATAAAACATGTTTTTTTAACGAGCACATCTTTTGGATATGAAGATCGCTGTCATTTTATATGTGAAATTATTTGGTGAATGTCATCAATCGTCATATTCAGGCCAACTTGACGCCGTTTTTTTTCGGTCATACAATACATTCTATATACAAAAATTTTTAGCCGGTTTTTGACGTAACGCATCATTGATATCTCCAAAAGTCCAGTATTCAGATATCCTAACTAATTGTGAATATTACTAGATATACTTGAATGGAATTTCCTATCTAATCATTGATGACGTTATTCTATCGATACTCCGAAAATCTCTGTGCTAAAATTAGACCTTGGATTGTGTAAATTCACTGTTTAATTAATTATTATTTTATTTCTTGTTCTCTTTTGAATTCTTATTATTTGTATGATTCCATGGAGTGAGTATAACGAGAAAAAAAACTTATTGTGTTACTTGAATTTTATTTTACAGAACTTCTTGCACAAATATAAAGGGGTTATTCCAGATATATCGGAATAAAATTGGAATATTTTAGCAATTACTTCAGCAGGGTTTTCATGTTTTCAGATAATTTCAATGTTTTTAATAATTATAAGTTTGAGTTTTAGGTATTATATTTTTTTCTTCTTAATTGATATAAGCAATTAGTTTGTAGTAGTTACAGAATACAGCGGATTATTTTGCGATAATGACTACATGGACTAAAAAGTTAAAATTTATAAAAGTCAATACTTTGCGATTTATCACAATGGTATGGCAATTCAATGATTAAACAAGCATATTTTTTGGTAATTTTTTTTTATAGAACACTGAGTGTATTTCTCTCGGTATTTCTATTTCTGACTATAGTTATTACTTCAGCAAACGAAAATACCATACCATCGAAAAAAAGGGCATCAGAGATGGTTTAGAAATGAAGACCGCCGTCATTTTATATTTTAAATTACAAAAAGGCCATCGCTCTTATTATTAGGCTTCTAAAATTCTAATTTACGTTTTCTCACATGTTCTCAAACTTTATTGCGTATAATCGATATAATATAGTTCTTCTCAATAACTTTCCCTATCGAAATTATCAAAATCAATGTTTTAGAGGATTTTTTCAAATTACGTTGCAAAAATATCACTTCAATAACAGTTTATTTGTATGAAAATTGATTTAATGACGCTGTCGACCGAATTTATGCGAAATCATTACAATTACAAATTACTATACCAATTAATGCTGCCACGTATTCTGGGACATAGTAATATATTTTTAATGCTTATGAATGATTATGAAATATTTATAAATATTTTTACTAATTCACAAATCACTGTATCCTAATAGAATATATAAATATAAAACACATATTTTCGGCAAGGTCAATGAAATTAATATATGCAAATATTGACAGGGTTCCAAATTTATACCTTAATTTATATTAAATGTATTTTTTTTCTTCGCTATAATAGTGTAAATATTAACATATTTTGTATATATCTGGTATCCTAAACTGATTTTGACAAAAATAAAAATATTTTTGTATATCTACAGATAGATTAAAACAAAATATATCTATAATGTGCTCTATGAATGCTCATTGGTGTAGTTCTGAATGCTCAGTGGTCTATGTTTAGAAAATTCTATATTTCAAAGATTATGTTAATCTTTCTGTTGTCCCCGGCTTTTTTTGTACCAAACTTTTAAAGACTAATTTAAATGTAAGGTTTCCAGAAAACTTGTTTTTAATTAATTTGAGAGAAATCTGGACCGGTTCGCCCAAGACAGATTAATTTTTTTAAATTTAAATTTTGACAATTTTAAAGGATCATATAACACATGATGGAGAAAGTTATATAAAGAAATATAATATTATGATGTTGTGCCATAAAATGCATTTCTAAAAGTCCACGCATTTTGAGACACCCTGTATGTTTTTACATTTTCTTATGCAGCTGAAAAAACACACGTACAATACTATTTCGTTGTACGTCAACATTGTGTCTGACTAGATTGAAAAAGAAAAGAAATCAGAAGAGGAAAAAAAATACGAAAAACAATGTTGAGAGCACCACGGCAAGGCTACGTAATAAATATGTGTAAATATTAACATATTAAAGTAAACAACGGCCGTGCGGTATAATGCCTCGGCCAGACGTAAAAATCAGGAAAGGCTCTTTCTTGTTGCTATGGCCAAAAGGTCACTACGCAAAGGGAAATTAACAAAAGTATTTAATAGGGGAAGCATGGACTGAACGGTTAAAAACTAATTGTAATTTTAGTTTAATTTCAAATATCGTATAATCGGAAAAGTGACTTC